TTTCCCATTTGCTCTGACTAATACAGGCCCTGTTAGTACCAACAGTCTCCCACTCTGACTCTTGTTGCCATTCAGTTCAGAGATCATGTCTGCAAGAGTGCAGAGGCAGATTTCTGATCTGGCAACAAAAAGTGTGATTTTAATGAAATAAAGTGTCCACATAGCAGCCATATTTGCACCGCATGTTATGTATGACCCATTGGGCAGACAGAAGAAGAGAAACTGAACAGAAGAAGGCAGATGTATCCACAAATTTGTCACAATCTGGCTTCTGTCTGTCTGGGTAGCGCGTTGACACATGGCTGGCTGAGTAATATGAAAGTGACTAACCACACCTCATCACAAGACTCAGCATGACTGAGAGTCAGACTCATAGCTTCTTTTCTATAGATAGCTGGTATCCGTGCTTGTATTATCTTGTTTAGACTTCATTTTTCTCACTTTCTATGAGCTCCTACAAGGTTAAAAAAAGTCCCCCCAGGCGCAACCTAGACTTGCTTCATCTTGACTCTACTGTTCATGCAGAGGAAAGGAAGAGAAGCAACAAGCAAACAAATGTGAACAAGTTTTAAATAGTTTGTCAGACATATGCATTCAAGTATTTTAACTCTTAAAAACTCGCATTCGCAAGCCAAGAAAGCATTAAAAGTGGCAGCAGAGCACTCATGCCAGGGAGCAACCAGCACTTACATTTCTCTCTGAATCACCAGTGATTACTCAAGTGACCACTTGTTACTGTAGTTCAAGGGCTGCTGAGGATTTCTCTCCATGACTATCTCCCCCTCTCCCAGTGTGCCTCTCCTCCTCTAACACATGCTCCTTTCCCTCTCTCACTGACCCAATTTTCCCTTGGCATTTAAAGTTACACATACACGTTGTTGATCGCAAAGTGGGTGTGAAACGCAGAGAAGCCAGTAGGAAGAGAAAAATAATGTTAAACAAATCAGAACATTTGCATGGTAGCTGATTCTATGCTAAACAGCTTCAGGGCAAACAAATGAGGAGGACGAAACTTACCTTTCTCGCTCTCGTCAGCTGTGCTTCTAGTTTGCAGTCATGCTACGACAAACTATTCTTCCTCTTTTTCTTCTGATCCTTTACTTTAGCCCCATCCTTTTTCAGCTTGTTTAGCTCTTCTCCCCCTCTGTGACTATCCCCGTCTCACTTTCTTTCCACTCTGTTATTAGAAAAACAGCTGGAAGAAACTCCCCTCCTTCTTTCTGCCCTGCCTGGCCCTCCCTCTGTCTCTCTCAATATGGTGCTAATGAGATGCTGAACCTTCATTTTGACTGTTCACTGGTCACAGAATCATGTCAGTGTGGCACACAGTCATGTGAGCCTATTAGTGAGAGTGTGACAGCAGGAGGGGGGCTAGGCAGAGGGGGGCTCCCGTGAACTGCCACATTAGCCCTATGCTCCACCGTGACCTGCCCTTCTCTCTGGTCGGGCCTAGAAAGAGAGTACAGCATGCAGCATGTTCACCTACTCACTGTTTATTCTGCCCTGCACTCTTTTGGATGCGAGCCAGGAGTGAAAGGAGAGCACCAGTGTCATCCAGACTTACACTCTATTCACTGCTGTCTCTAGCTGGTCTCATTGATTTGCTGAGGCTTGCTGGAAACAGTGGAAACTGTTGTGAACACAACATTGGCATGTTACATTTTCAAACACAGCTACGTTTTGGCAGTTTTAAATAAGTTATAAAACAATATTGTGATTGATTTGGAGCCTATGGTAGTCCAGTTATTCTTATTCCAGTGCTCATTTTGTTCTTTTTTTAGCTCTATTTGGTCAGTTTGGGAAATTTCTGTCTCTTTAACTCCTTGCCATTAATATTGCCTGTATGCTTTTTGGTGCACAGCAGGTATTGGACTGTACAAAAGATGCCTTTTGTGCCTTATGTACACTGATGCCTGCTCTGTTCTGTGCTGGGGTCTTTCTCAAGCTGCTGCAGAAGAGATGCACATTGGAAGGCAGGAGGAGGTCTCAGAACAGATCCATGACATCAAATATAAATTGCTGCAGATGGAAATAACCACTGTAACAATAGCCACTGTTGTCGCGCTGCAAAGAGGGGTTTGAATCTAAGCCTTTCTGTGTGCATATGCTTGCATGTTCTCCATGTAGATGCGTGGGTTCTCTGCACAGTCGAAAGACATGTTAGGGTAAATCATGATTCCACATTGACCACAGTAGTGAAGGTTTGTCTGTTTTTGTGTTTGCCCTGTGATAGAACTTTTGACCGGTCCAGAGTGTACCACATTTCTCACCCCATGACAGCCGTGCTGGGCTCCAACCCCCCTCCGACCATAAGGATAAGAAGATGGATGAAAGAAAATAACAGCATTCTTTTAACTTTAAGGGTCTTTGCTAAAATTATTCAATTCTGACAACTTCACTAAACTAGCAAGTAAAGTCACAGTATGTCCTGACAGAGATTAATGAGGTATAATGAAAATATCTAAGCCTCCTGCTACACTTGGATCGCTCTGTGGAATTCCAGTTTTTATCATTTGCATTTCCACATTTGGGATGCATCCTATTTTTTCAAACAAACAAAACAGCATCACTTCAGTTTTGTTTTGGGGAAGAGGATAACACTGTATGAATTCAAGTTTGTATGGGGGGGATAGCTGTGTAGACATGGCCGAAAGCCTCCTGCCTTCTCCATGTAAATTGAGTTGATGCACAATGGCAGGTATCACATTTTGCATCAGAGGTTTTTCTTGGAAGATCGCAAGACATTACAGTAGAACACAGTGTTGACAGTTGAAAAACAAAAAGCAAGCAAGCAAACAAACAAAAACAATGAGCACACTCCTGGTCATGCTCCTGACCTGATCTGCCTCCTTCAGGCATGCACATGTGCTTTCTTTTTACACTGATAACTGCTGTCTGGTCTCTGGGTTGTAGTCAGAGACCCATCTGTTATCAGCATCACCCATGACATACAAGTCAGTCTGACACAGAATTGGATGGCGACTTTCTGGACAGGTTTGAAATCCATAGTGAAAGCACAGATATGCACGTGTATATGGTTAGAACGAGACTTCCATTAAAGTCTTTTTGAGAAAAAAATCCAGGGTATATAAGTAACATTTAGGGGTCAATGTGTCCAAACTGTGAAAGCGTTTGTTTTCTCACTTGGTAGATGTCTCTAGTAATAGAGTTTGTGACTTTGTGTGTCCTGGTTTCCGAGTAAGCATCTAAGATTTCTGCTGCATCCTCGAGACAATGCAAGCCAAGCGAATAGTAATTGTGCTCATAGCAATGGAAAATTACATTTTAATATTTAAAGACCATTATATATTTTCCAAATCACAGACCTGAATGCTACTTACTATTACTTTTCAGACCTTGGAGAAACAGAGTTTAAATTAAAATAGAGATTGGTGACAAATTCAACAAACAATCCTGTTATTCAAGTGAAAAAAAGAACAAGTGTAAAGAAGAAAATATCTGTAGGAAGAACAGAAACAGTGTTCTACATGCTTTAAGTACAAGTTTAAAGACTTGTTTCACCAGTCAGATTGCCCAGTTATGTGATGGTTACTCTTTTAATTTGTACCAGATATGCAGTCCTTATGCAAAATGAACTTGAAGATATCAGTAAAGAAAAGTAACTTTGAAAAACCCTTATTAAAACTACACATGTTGTGAGTAAGTGGTAGCCTCTGGGACCGAAACATGAAGCCAACAAGGAGCTGTCAGAAACTGTAATTCCTGGATGGGCTATTTGAAGCTGTCTCTAAAACTGAATCAGTTTTAATAAGTATCCATGTTAAAATCTACATTAGAATAAAGCATATTTACAGCCTGGTACAAAAATAGTTTTTATTAGTATAACTTATATAGTCCTTTAAAAATTGGTTTCCTCTGTTTGTAAAGCCGCAAGACCTCCCATGAAAAACACCTGAAAACCAAAGACTGCATATAAAAGATGGACATAGCCATTTTCGTTGTTTTCCCTCCAGTCCCAGATCTCGCGATGCTAACAGTGTGTAACATCTCACCACTAGATGTCAGTAGATTGCAATCAACTGAATTTTGTCTTCTTACTTACTCTCTCAATTCAAGTGCAAAATCCAACTGTGGTGACCACTGCAGGATAAATGACTCTGGCCACCATTTATGTGTAGTGAGTATGCGGTGTCAGTCCACTGTTTACCTTAGCTGTCAATATACTGGGTGTCCATGGCAATTTACTCTGGAGGAGGCTATAAAAGGAGTCAGTATGAGTTGATGAATCAGTGAAGCTGATAACAGAGGTGAGTTGTTGAGGATATCCTGAATTTTTCTGTTGGTAAGACCTGCTGAGCCTCCCTGAGCCTGGTTCTGATGGAAGATTTCTTCCTGTAAAAGGGAGTTTTTCTTTCCCACTGTCACCATGTTCTTGCTCAAGAGGGTCGTCTGATTATTGGTCTTTGCTTTATATTTTTGGAGCGTCTTTGGTGCTATAAAAAAATTAATTAAATTGAATAAGTTCGATTAAAAGTATCCCCATGAGAAGAAAACAGTTGTGGCTTTATGACACAAAGAAAACCGATTCTTGGTAGTTTTCCTAATTGTGTGCAAAACTCAACAAAAAGAAATGCAAAAAAAGAAAATAAATGGGAAAACTGGCACGAAAAAATCAGCATGATTACATTTACAGTTTTCTCCCATGAACCTTAAACTGACCACCACGGTAGAAAACAGTCATTTCTTTCAAGTTGTTTTGCATTGTTCTTCATGCCTCACGGGCATCATTCGTTTTGCTGCATGAATGCAGCCAGTGTTTGCTTTGAATCAAGCCATCTCATCTTCTTATCCTTGCTCTCTAAACTTTTGTCCTATTAGCTCACTGAGCCTGATGGGAAAACAATCCTGGACCTGAAAACAATGTTGTGTTCAACCACCCTAGGGCTGAGACGAGCTGCTGCCAAATGACTCAATTCAAACACTGCACTTGAAATTGGATCATTATGTGAATCTGTCAGAAGAGGGAATCCAACATGAAATGAGAATCACAACAGGGCAATAGTTTATTTTAGCATTTATTTCAACACCTTAGTTGTACCTCTATCATGTTGTTTACCAGTATACTGTATTTTATTTAAAACAAAAATTATATATATATATTTATATATTTATATATACCTTTTATCTCTGCATACTTATGCTCAAACTGTATGTAGTCATAGTCGTTATGCATTTCACTAGACCTAAAATGCTCTTTTAAATCATAGTATGTAATGCTTTCTACACTACTGCTCAATCCTTTCTCCTTTTCGACCATAATGTGATAGCAACTCGTCATAAGAATACAGAGCCGTAATTTTAAACTCACATGTAGAAAATATGCAGTATACTAACGTGTCAGCTTCACAGGGGTCACCACAGGGCGAGCAGTATAGAAAGCATTTACAGAAAACCCAAAATGAACCATAAACAAAACAAAGCTTCAAAGAATTTTGCCCACACTATTTGGAAGACGGAGATTCTTAAAATGTTTACATACTTAATATTATAATCTTCATTATACTATATTTTTATATGTTATCTTTGTCGTTGCCATCATCATCATTACATACAGAGCTATAAATGATGTGTTTTTGCCTTACAGTTGATTTTACTGCAAATGGCTAAACTGGCACGTTAAAAACAAAATCCAGGATGTTCATGTTCACCTCTATGCAACACTCATAGTATTTTAAGTTTATCGCAGAAAAATCCCTTTTAAAAGTGAGTCAGAGCTTTTCTTTCTGAGGGGTAATGTGTGTGGAACAGTGAAACATTTGGATTGTCATCTGGTGAGAAAAGATAAACAATGCTGTCTGAGCATTATAAATACATTTTGAAAAAGGCATTAGAGAAAGAAAGGGGCTCAGGGGGCAAAGCATTTGACTACCAACGCAGGCAGATGGACACACACGCACAAAATCAGACACACACAGACTCACAGAGGCTTAAGGTTGAGGAAGTCAGGCAGACAAAAGCAGTAAAAAGCCCTTTTTGATCACTGCACCTGCTGTGTGAGAGAGAGGGCGTTCAACATTATGGCATGGTAGAGGATGGAGCCACCCTTTGACCTGTGCTATGGCCAGTAAACACCAAGAAAGTCTAAGAAAAATGGTTTGAAATGACATGCTAAACATTTCATTTCTAATATGCCATTTCCTTTCTGCAGAATAATCAAGACAACAATAAAAAGATTAATTTAACAACAACAGTTTTTCAAATTTCTGTCCTCGTTTTTCACAACTTTGATTCCAACGTTTAGAAATACCCTGACCAGTTTGAAATGAATGATTGCAATCAGCACTTAGTACAAAACAAATGGTTTCTACTAATAGTGAATTCAGTTTAACATGGAAGATATATTTAGCGCTTGCAAAGTACATACATACAAAGCATACTGGGGCAACCTTTGGGGGGAAAATGGCAAATATATAAAACAGTACTGTGGTTGTTTAGCTTTTCTTCTATCATCATTTACAAAAAAAAGCCTTTCTCCCACATTCTGACTTTGGCTCCAGTACTCGCAGCCATCGATACTCTGATCTGCTTAAAGCTACAAAACTGATGTTAGGATATGGCCCTCTGCTTTTACAAGAGTTTCTGGCTCAGACATAATCAGTAACATTTAATTGGGCTTCACCCTTTAAGCAGCAACTTTGCAACTTTTTCTTTGAACTCAGACTCAAGTTTTCTCATTGCTGCAAAGCAGCAGATGGTGTGAGAATCCATCTGTCAGTGTGTGTGAGAATATGAGTGCAAGTACGTATGTGTGTTTATTCTTTTACAGCACAAAACGGTGTGTTAATTAAATGCCTGTCCATCAAAAGTTTTAAAGTATATTTTCAGATGAAAAGCATTATCTGTAGAAATTCTTATTTTCTTCATCACCTCTTTTGACCAATAGTTCTACAAATTTCCATCCAGTTCTCTAAAACAAATGTGCAAGACAACATGTTTCTCCACATATCCATGGATTCGAACAAGTTCAACGCAAGCTGTTGTTGTCCACTGTTCTTCTCTTGCAAATCTTCTGTTACTGATGATCTTTGTCATTTCATTTCTTTCCCTCTTTTTCATCTTTGAATCACACCTTCATTCTCTCAGTCTGTGTCTCGGGGAGGAGTACTGACATGCAAAGGAGAAGAGAGCCGCCTGGGAAGAAAAGGAGGCCAAATCAAAGAATAAGAATGGGTGGAAACTTAAAAAAGATGGAACGACTAAGGTTGATATGACTAAGTTACTAAAGTGAAAGAGAAGGGAATGGAGAGAAGATGCGATGACCTTATCAATTTATATGCCTCTAATGAAGGAAGGGGATGGTTGAGCTAACTTGCATGGAAGTAATGAGACTCTTTGACTTTCCTTCATCATCCAGTGCTCCTTTTTGACCTCGTTGCCTCTCTGTTTTCCAGAGTCTATTAGTCCTCCCTCACCTGTCAGTGAGTTTCTTCAGTGCCCTCTCGATGTTCATTCGATGCCCCACACGTGTCACTCCTAGATCCAAGAAGTCATCCTTGGTGAGTGAAGGCAGATGTGATCCATCTATCTCATTGTCTATAAAACGCTCTCTGTGTTCACCCAGATTCAGATAAGCCAGCCAGTCGGCCACGTCATACTTGGTCCAGTAGGGTAGGGGTTTGATGGCAAATGGTTTAGTTGGAGGAGGAGGATTGAGATGCGGATAGTTGAGACAGGAAGGGCTAGGTGGTAAATGCATGGGGGAAGAGGCTCCAGAGAGAAAATGAGTGGGGGAGAGTGAACGGGAGACAAGCAAGGGATTTGGACTTGGCACACCAGATGGAGAAAACAGTGGAGGAGTTGAAGCTTTGTAGGCATCTCCTAGAGGGATGCCAGGAGAAGGAGGAGTAAGGGGCCCGGGAAACTCAAATGGGTTGCTGTAGACGGGTGTGCTTGGAAGGATTGGGAGAGAGGAGGGTCTGGGAGGGGTGGGGCTTTGCTGTTCAGTGTTATAGATAAGAGGACTGGGAGCCCGACGTCGAGCAACTGAAGACCGCATCTCTTTAGTAGGACTGCATGGAAAATCAAAAGTCTGTCTACGCATCTTGGACCTGTGCTTAGGTGATGTTGGGTATGGGCAGTAGGTTGGAGAATGGGGAGGATGTGAATGAACTGGGGACGAGGGCATTTGTGGAGAAGGGGATCGGGTCCAGTTGCGCTGAACTGGGACTTGAGGGGAGGGCGAGACAGAAGGTGTTGCCGAGAGGTTTGGGGTCAGGGTCTGACGATGCTGTGGGGAGGAAGTGGGCAGCGGTGAGGTCGAGCGTCCAGTGGGAGGGCTATGAAAAGCATCACTGTAATCCGCTGAATACCTAAAAGACAAATAGAATTATCCTGTAAAATGTAATTCACACTATCAAATATCTTTCATTTAGTTATAATATCAAGAAGATCAGCAAACCTATGCATGGTGGGAGACTTTGGAGTGTGGCTCCACTCATCCATGCTCTTCATGCTGCTCATCTGCTGTAGCTTGGAGCTTAGTTCATTGATGATGCTGGCTTTCACACCTGAGAGAGGTGAGTGAATTCTGCGGCCATCCAAAACCAAAACGCCTCTCTGGACTCCAGCTTGCTCGTGTTCTCCAAGGTCACTCCAGCCCACTGATCGAGTGTCCATGGGCCTCTCTAAGCAGGCAGCCAGGGCAGAGCTGAAGCCGTCTTCCATCTTGGATCGACTCTGCTTGTGCTTCCTTTCATCTGAAAATCCTCCATCTATACCGGTGTCTTCTGGGTTGTTTTGTCTGTGTAACTGCAAAGGAGCGGGATTGGTGCTGTTCTGTCTACGTAGTGCTACAGATGGGCCCCTCCCTCCACCCTCCTTGTAATGAGTCATCTTCGGAAACACGGGATTTGCCAATTTGGCGCTGTGCACCTCAAATGTTTGCCCACCTGAGTAGGTTGTGCAAGGATCCTGATGTTCACTGATTTTCTCTCCCTCTCCTCCTCGCCCATCTCCTCCAACCCCTCCTCTCTCTCCTCTTAGCCCACAGAGTCCCAGCATTTCTAAATGGTGGTCACTGCTACTGTGACTGTCCAGCTCTTCAATTCCAGAATCCACCACAGCTTCTTGCCAGTCTCCGCTCTTGTGTATAATAGTAGTCTGATGAGTGTGGTCAGATGCTTTTCCCCCTGTGGTGAAGCCAGCCTTGGGCCCAGCCATAGTCATACTGTAGTCAGAGGATGCTGGAGAAGTTGTGGTGGTGGTGGCAGCAGCAGTTGCAGTCATGGTCGTGGTAGCATAGGTCATGGTAGTGGTGAGGGTGGCAGTGCCTCTGTCCTGTGCTGGGGTATGAATACCTATTGAGGGGTCGTTAGAGCTGCTGTAATAGGTGTGGGAATGGGACATGGGCTGGGGTCTGTGCAGCGATGTAGGAGGCAGAGAAGCAGCAGAGGTGGTGGTGGTGGTGGTAATGGAGGTGGAGGCAGAGGGAAAGATCTGTGGGGATGGATAAGATGGAGAGAGAGCTGACTGCGTGAGGTTGGCCACTTCACTGTCATAGGAAGTAAGGCTGGAGGTAGCGGAGTCGCCACCCTGTGAAGTGGGTTGGGGAGGATTTGAGGTCTTGGGGGATGGGGGAGGAGGTGGGGCGGGTGGAGCAGCAGAAACAGAATGCTGACCCTGGTGTTGACGATGTTGTGAAAATTCCCGGACCCTCTCATTCTTACCATTAGCAAACTGCAAAGGAGGGGGCAAGGGATCTGCGAAGACAAACTCATCGTCTACGTCTATTGATGGAGCTGGTGGAGGCAAAACCATGAGTCCTAAATTTCCACCTGCTCCCACCCTAGCTTCTTCCATTGCTTCGTGTGCTTGTGAAGGGGCTGTGGGGACAGTATACTGAGGAATGTAGCTGGTGTTGGGAGTGCTTTCCATCTGAAGGAAGGAAGGTCTGCGGGGGGCAGGTTGAGTTGGTGGGGGAGGAGGCTGTATGGGTGGAGCAGGCCTGCTGTCATACATCTCCTTTTCTCGCTCCCTGGGACTTTGTGGGTAGTACTGGGTTGAATATTGGCTGTTTCTGTCTTCAGAGAAGCGAACTCTAAGACCTTCCCTGGGTCCTCCCTCCTTTTCTCTTTCCACACGCTCCCCACCTGCCCCCCCCAAACGTAATATCCTTGGTGATTGTGGCCGGCTCAGAGATGCAGGAGAGGTGGTAGTGGTTGGGGAACTTAGGTGGAGAGATACTGGAGAAGTGTAGGCCGACTGCGTTGGCGTTGCAAAAAGAGAAGGCGTTGGAGTCTGAACAGGGGTGGGGAAGGCTCCTACTGTGGAAAGTTGCCGGCCAAAATGTCTGTCCTCTCGTCGTGTCCTGCGATCATCTTTTAGAGCCCGCTCTCTTGCAGCCAGGGCCAATCCCAGAGGGGATGAGGGGTCCAGAACCTTCCCAGTAAGTGGGTGAATGAAGGTAGTGGCAGGCTGGGTTCCATACATTGAGGGAGCTGACTTAGGCTGGCCGTCCTGATTGAGGACAGGGGAAGAATACTCAGGCAGGCCAAAAGCTGGGGGCATGCTGCTGGAATAGCTGACGTAGTTGTCTCCAGAAAACATGCCTTCATCTATAGACTTGGAAGGCCGAAGCCGAGGGGTGGGCACTTCCATTTGTGAGCCCTGTAAAGGCTGAATTCGTACCCCTTGTATTCCTCCTCCCTCTCCAGCTCCACATCCTGCTTCCACTTGGATGTCCTCCTCTGATGAGAGGAAGAAAGAAGCACTCTTTCTCCTCATATCTCGAAAGCGTTCCCTTTCCCTGCGTGCTCCTCCACCCGCAAATGTTGTACCAAATGCTGAACTATAATCCAAGTTTTCTAGGTTTTGCTGTGAGGAAACCAAAGGGGCAACAGTTGATGAAGGCAAAGAAGTCGATGTTGGAGGTTGAGGTGGCACAGAGGTGAGTGGTGAGGGCAGGCTAGTATTAGGGCTGTCTGGGGTTGCCTCTCCAGAGGTTTGGTCTTCCACATCTTGGGAGGGCTCAGCCTCCATGCTGCTACCCTGGCTGCTTCGACCACTGCTACTGGTGGAGGGCGCTTTGACAATGATGGTGGGAATGGGGATAGAGCTCTTCTCTTTGGTTGCACCTCCTTTTCCTCGATGCTGTCTCAGACCATCTTCCACTTTTGACTGTTTCATCAAAGCTCCCCGACCTCCCCTCTTTGCCACCCCTCTGCCAACTCCTCCACTCTGATCCCGGTTGGACACAGGTGGTTGATGCTGGGGTGCTTGTTGTTGGGCCTTAGGCTTAGCACTTGTTGGGGGTGTAGCACTGCTGTAGCCTCTCCTTAATCCTCCCATCTTGCCACCACCTCTCCTGGGCGCCTCTGGCTCTCTGATGCACAGTCCTTCTGACTGCCTCCGAAGAGTGGGAACCATGACCTGCTGGTTCATTACACCTGGTCCTGCCCTTTCCCAGCCAGCTTGGGAAGGATGCCCTGGCTGAGAGTGGAGCTGGTAGTGAGGTTGAGATACAGGAGGGATTGGCATGGCAGGTCCTCTACCCGGATGAGGGCCTGCAGACAAAGGTGGCTCTGGAGCAGATGTGTTTGGTGGTGGGGGGATTTCTTCTGGTCCAGGCACAGACAGGCTGCGAGCTAACTTCATAGCAGGTGGGTGAAGGTACTGCCTTTCCTCCTCTGTTACACCTAAGAAGAAGGTCACACACATTTAGAAACATTTACAAGAAGAAGCTGTACTGAGCTGGCAGATATCTCATAAGAAGAACTGACATTACCAATAGATTTTTGACGCATCATGACTGCATGCTGGGGACCGTGGCCTGGTTGAAAATGAGCTTGGTTGTAGTCAAAACCAGGTCCAGCTTGTACCATTGCCAGTGATGACTGCTGATCATATGGTTGCTTCAGGTACCAAAAAAAAAGAAAGAAAAGTAAGTAAAAGAGAATGAATGAGAATTTAAAATGAAGGAGGTTTATAAAGAGAAGAAATGCAACAGTAATTTAGATATAATCAAATAAAACTGATGTTGGCTGTTGTTGAGTAGATATATACAGAATAATCCAATACATAAAAAACAATAAGTCTGAGTAACAGTACATTAGGCAGCAGAGTATAGATGAATGGACATAATCTGACTCACACTAAACAAATGTTTTGGAGTGGGTGGTCAATAGTCAATCATTTTCTCTAAAGTGCAGCGAGGGCAGGAGAACACCCAGAGCTAAAGACCAAGTTGGTTTAGAGATTTGAATTATTTTTGTTGGTATTAGTCACCTCCATGACTAAATACTGTATGTGCTAAAGCAGTGGAGAAGATCTGAGAGGGTGAAATAGCTGTTGAGTAATTGTTTGTGTGTGTGTGTGTGTGTGTATAGTTATATATATTTAAAGATCAATAAATCGATAGATGGAAATACAGTAAAGAAGGCGAAAACAGTTTCTACAATTCTAATGAGTTTGAAAGATCATTTAGTATGATTAGCTTTGTTCTCCAACACAGTATTCAACAGCTTTTTTGTTATTTCTTTAAGTAGTCTTCAGGAATAGTTCTCCAGGCTTTTAAAAGACATTCACAACTCTTCTTTGGATGCTGGGTACTTTTTGTTCCAATCTCTTTCAAGGTTTCTTGTGGGATCATCTGAATCCAATGCATGACTGAGTGTGTTCTATAGTTTGTTTTCCTATCCAGGTATGCATTGACAGTATGTTTGGGCCCATTTTCATGTTGAAAAATGAAGCAATTGGCAATCAGATGCTTTCCAGATGGTATTCTGAAAAATCTGATGGTACTTTTCTGCATTCATAATTTCATTGATTTTGACAAGACAACACTAAAGCCCCAAATCCTAACAGAGGCTCCATTGTAGACACTCACTGTTGTACCCCTCCCTGATCTCCTCCATACATACTGAATCAGAATTTTCAATTTTGGATTCATAACACACAAACTTTTCTCTGTATTTGCCTTCCTCAAAACTTGAGACCATTTCTGATGATCAGCAAACAGTAGATGGAACCATTAAAGGTCCAGATGCATCTCCTAGGTGACTTTAAAGCCCCATTTCCATTAGTACCTCCTCGGATCGACTCGCCACAGTTTTCAGCAGGTATATTTTACCTTGACATCCACCCTTGTTGTAGTGTTCGTGTCGCATATTAATTACATCATGGGATGCTCAGATGCGTTGCTATGACAACGTCCATGCACATTAGGTAGTACTCAATTGTAATGGAAAACCAGTTGATCTGAGCTGAGTCATGGCGAGCTATGGCGAGTTGATCCAAATAGGTACTAACGGAAAAGGGGCTTTAGATACTGCTCATGTGCAGTAGATAGTTTTGTTTGTCCTCCACTTGTCCAGTTTCTTTAAATTTTTTAAGGACACGCTTCTTTTAAAAAAAACAAACAAAAAAAACCCCCAAACAGTTTTCATAGCTAATTCATAACAAATGGGAGCATATGTTAATTTAGCAAAGTGTGTTAGTAACAAAATGCACAAAGATACGATTCAAAATCCGTTCCTCTCATTAAAAATGATGAAAAATGACAAAAAAGCCTATCTCCTTAGAAGCAAAATATAAAGAAAGGACGGGTGATTATATTCAAAATTGCTCCTTAACGTGAGTTCAAGCCATTCACATTGCAGCAACTTAGTGCATTTAAGCACATGGACATGATCCAGACAACCTGCTGAAGGTCAAACTGGGCATCAGAATGGAGAAGAAAGGAGATTTAAGTGAGAGAAAATAACCAGTGAGTGGCACTTCTCTGGGCAAAAAATGCCTTGTTGATGTCACAAGTCAGATGAGAAGTGCTTTGAAACGATACAAACACAAACGTAACCCAACAGAGGTCATCAGAAGAACGTCTGAGGAATATTTCTAGCATCTTGTTAAATCTTTGATTTTGTGCCAGAAAGAATTAAAAGGGGTGGGGTCCAATTGAGGCAATAGGAATAGCTTGGTATAAGAAAAGGATTTTCTTTTATGAACTGTGATGCATGCAGAGCAATGTTAGTATAATCCAGGAATAACCAAAAGGATAAAAAAAACAAAGGTCAAAATGAGCATTAAAGGCCCCCTTTAATAACTTGTTGACATGTATGTGCTACAGGAATGACCTCAACTAGGACAATTTCCTCACAATTCCCAACAGTACCTCCTTGGACACATTGGGAACAATACTCTTGCTTCGGTCCCTCTTGCCTCCATGACCTCTCTGGCCCTGGTTGTCTGATGTCATGGTGTGTTGAGCGGCAGCCAAGATTTCATCCAGTTTATCTAAAACACAGACAGAGCAGAGGGCATAAGACACAAGGCGTAAGTCAGGGCATAAGGAAACAGAGGAGTAGTGGAAGAGCCGTAAATAAAGAAGCTAAAGGAAGATTTCAGTGATCCTACTCCTCTCTCCTTAAAGGTACAGTGTGTAAAATTTCACCTCTTGCACAACCCCAGCTACGATGGCACTGTGGGACAACAACTCTTCTCTAGTGAATGAAGGCTATCAGTCCACTGGTTACCTCAGTCATTAATATGTGTCCATATCTATTTTCTCAGGATGAGGCTGTAAAGCTTTATGAAATGAGTCTGATGAGTCAGTGATGGTCACTTCTGACCAGTGACAGCGAGCTGCTGTTATCTAGTGTTAGTGAAACTTCCTTTGAAGTGGATCTAATGCTGTTGGACACTTATCAAATAAACTATCATACATTTTGTGTAACGTAATCAAACTTTTTTACTATATATTTTTTAGGACACTCCAGCCCAACATTAGCTGGCATAACGTTAGCAGAGCTGCTGTTGTATAGCTGGCTCATTGTCAGCAGCCCTGAGATGGGAGGTTCACATATCTAATCTGGTGACAACAAGTGACTGCAACACTACTGGGAATAGATAAGCAGGTTTATGCACATTTCCATGTGACTTCAATCCAGATGATTAGGTTTGATATGAGGGAGGAGAGACCCGTGGTGCAGGAGGTGGAGAAAGACAATACGAAAAATGATGATAAAAGTATACATGAGCAGATGTTAAATGGTCATATATAGTTTGAAAGAGCCACTGTATTTCTCAGCCACTGAATACAAGATGGACTCTGCCTGTATGAGCAGTTTATGATGCAGCTATATCAGTTTGCTGGAAGTCATAATCACATACCAAATAACCTCAAAAAACTATGCACTGTACCTTTAACGTATCTAAACACCTTCTTACAGTATCACAAGAGCAGTGAGAGTGATTTCTTACTTAAAGCCATCTGATAGACGGTCCTCTTCTTATCAGGACCCTGAGAGGACTCGTACTCTGGAAAAATAAGCAAAAAAGACATCAAACTGACTGATTTTTAATTAAAGCTCAGAGGCTGATAGGGGTGATGATAACACTGATACTCACCTGCTTTCTTTTTCCACGGAGAGGCAGCTGTTGCACGCGTAATTGGGGAAAGAGAAATTAGGTGTGACTAGAACTTCTGCAAAGTGTATAAAGCAGATGAAGAGATGAAGTACATACTCAGACACGTGATGGTGTGAATGCTGATGTGATGATAGGGATGTTGATGGGGACAGAAATGATCATGAGAGCACACAAATCTGTGATTCTCCCACCTTTGTCCACTGCATGCAGCACATTTGGTTTGAAAAGAAGAGAGAAAACAGAGCTGTTTGTGACAAATGACATTTTAAATGCATCATTTTTACAACATGCCGCTGCTTTTGTATCGCTTAACCTCACTGTTTAATTGCCACCTTTCCTCTTCATGGCTAACATCATAAGTGCAAATGAATCAAAAGACTTCTTCCCATGAAGCTGTTGCTAGTGAAAAAAAATGCACCACTCTGGATAATTTTCTTGGCTTTCTGCATCAACTTGGTTAATATTTAATGCTGTGTTTCCTTAATAGTACCACAGTACTAAACCATCCTCCTGCAGAAAAACTGCTAACCCACCCCAGAAGAAGCCTTTTCAATGTGACCCCCAGAACTCATGCTTTTGCGCTTTGTCCCTTCTTTCGTCTTACCCATATCTTCCAGCTCTGATGTCATTGACTTGGAGCGCAGGGCAATGGCAGGAGGAGTCAGTCTTTTTGTCTGCTGTGGGGCTGCCAAGGGAAGCCAGCCAAATGCAGATTTAATGTTTAGAATTCTTGTATACAACCCATTGCAACAGGCTTTCAGGTTGACGTAAACATGCAATCAGCTTAATCATCACATGATAAACACAGAATTCAAATGGCGTAAGACGAAAATCTGACTAGTACCTCGCTTTCGAGCCGTGTCTTCCAGCTCAGGGTTTCGAGCAACCATGACAACTTTCACCATGAGACTGTTGCCGCCCTGCCGGATCATGTTGACAACCTGCCGATGACCAACCTTCACCACATTCTGACCGTTCACCTGCCAGAAAAACACAGAACAAAATGAAAAATCCACTCTAGTCGCACAGAGTGGATGAAAAACCTGAGACAGTTTGGAGTGCACACTTTAGGCATTGTCTCCTCTTACCCAGTGGTTCACTTTAACAATTTGGGTTTCTTGTGTGGTTTAAAACATAAATCTTACTGGTTTCTGGGCAGGTGCACCAGCAAGTCAAGCTGCAACTTAATAACAGTTACAAAAGCTTGGGCAGCTATATAAGTGACTCATATTAGGTTGAATAGTAATGAACAGCTTCTGTCAGCTGTAACAAAGGTTTGACAATCACCATTTTTAGTGCCAGGGTTTTAAGGGAACATACAGGAACTCTTAAAGGCCAGAGAGTTGCAGCAACTACAAGCACAGCAGCCTCCAAATGACCATAACTAAAATGCAAATTATATATTTAGGAGAAGTATAGAAATAATCGCATCAATGCATCATATCCTGCACATATTTTTAGTGCACACAAATGTCTTTACCCTGTCCATTCTCTGTTGTCTTTATTGTCTATTTTTGCTGTTATTAAAGGACATACAATCACTGAACAGCAAGTGAAGAAAGCACTAGCATTTTTAAAAGAAAAAATGCTAATGCTGTAATGTGTTTGTTGTAACGTGTAACGTGTTGTAACGTGTTTCCTGCAGCTTCCTATGTTTGTTGCATAATACATGAACATATGACCCCAGTTTCTGTTTTACAAAACTACTTTCTTCTTCATAGGTCTTGAATTGAAAGTAAAAGTAAAGCTTCAGTTAGCATGCCGGTTACCTCGATGAGGAAGTCCCCCATCCTCAGGCCCGCTCTCCACGCCACGCCCCCCTCATCAACAGACTCCAGGTACTGCAGCGCGGGGAATGCTGGCGTTGGAGTGAACTCCTCTATGGGAGTCTGAGCTGTAGATGATAACAAGACAAGAGGTTCACCACAACAGGAGCATGGATTTGATCATTATGCAGTAAATAGCTAACAAGACTTAGAAATCTTTGGCAATACGTGATGAACTTTGAGAAGACGCTCACCTTTGGCTCCCCTGAGTACAAACCCAAAGCCCTCATTGTCTTTCTTCTGTAGGAGCACAGTCTTTTCCTTAATGATGTAGTCACTTGGAAAAAGTAGAGAACGGGTATATGAAATGAAGGAAGGGGTGAATAAAAAAGAGAGAGTTGGAGATGAAGATATGATTGTCTAGTAGAAGAAAAGTGTTACGGTCATGCAATTAATGCATCTTCTAAATGTGGAAAACAGCTATACTGCAACACATTCTGAAATCACACTGCAGCAAAAGATACTTGGGCTTGTGGATGTCATACAAAAAGCTTTGGTACACAAAAGAGGGTTGATGGGGGGGATACAGTTAGTGTCACAATGGGAGGAATTGTATATGAGATGACATTCCATACTATGGAGTAATCCAGCTAGAGCTGACAAGCACTGGGCCGGGGGGAACAGCACATTAGAAAAATGTGCACATCCACTGATAATGGAAACTTCCAAATGCACCCAAATCGCTGCATTAGCTTTCACCGCCTCTGGCAGCTTTTGCAAGGATACTGCTTCACCGACTCCTGCGCAACCACTACCGGTCATACATGACACTTCAAATTATGTACAAGAAGTCAGACGGGCCTCTAATCCACCCCCCACCATCACAAACAGCTCCTCTTGCTCAAAGACTACAGTCCGAGAACATAGAAACATCGATCACAGGCTTTGGCGATGCAATCTTATTATGAGACGGCTTGAGTAGTGGCTCAGCAAGCTCCTTCATTATTCTATTACCATGTCTGGGACGTTTTGGCCAGGCTGCTTTACAACACTTTCTCTAATACAGGGCCAGTTAAATGGACTCCACACTGCCACACACAGCCACATCTCATGAGTCATTTCTGGACTTGACTTTCTAACAATGTCAATTCACCCTGCCCCTGCTAGAGAGCCCGGGGCTCGAGCAGAGTTGTATGATTAAAGAGGAATTCCAGATATTTCTTTCACAGGCAGCTCATTTTTTGTGTTAGTTTGTGCTGCTTGAGTTAACTCAAACTGACACTCCAACGGAAATCAAATCAAAGGATTTGATTTCCCAAAGAAAAAAAAATGGCAGAACAGTGAGAGAACAGGAAGTGTAGCCTGGTTGAAGAATCGTCCTTATTTATAGTGATAGCTCGACTGCCAAAACATACACTAAAACTGCTCCGGGTAGGCTCAAGGACAGAATTTGTTTTTTCCTGGAAATAAGCTGTTTCGTTCATCCTTCTTTTAAATGGGAAGTTAAAATAAACTGTCTATTTATTTCATGATAAGTACGTGATAAGTACTGAGTAGAGGTAGGATTTTTTTGGCTACAAGGTTGCACACTAACTCTGCCTTCACAAGGGACGTATGAAAAATAATTTACCATGAAAAAGGGACAAAATGTAAAATATTTTTTAGGTTTTAGGCAGCAGATGTGGTGGGGGTTTTTTTGTGTGTGTTTTTTTTTTATGTCTGGCGAGTTCTCAGTACTCGGTTCTTATGCATATAACCCCGCAAACAATGTTTTGCCTGTGCCTGCGCAACCCGGGTTCAGTGGACTCATGAGCATTGGCTGACGGGCCCGAGTATCCAGACTTTGACATGAAGCTGTAACTTTAGCACTGAACAGACGATCGCTAGTTTCCCCTAGTGAGGTCCATCCCTTGTGTGTTCTCCATCAATGTTACTGTTTCGCCAACGCTCAGCCGCCTTCCAGCCATCTGCTCCTCACACCTCATTCCTTTTTCTCTCACCCTGTCCTCCATCATGCCTTCCCTCTCTGAGGATCAAAGTAACACAGAGTGGGTGGACAGATCCATCGGGCTCTTCATCCATCTACTTGTATAAGGATAACGGGGAAGGGGGGGCACGGCCACAGTTGGTCTTTTGGGGGTTTCTAATTTGCATTGCTGGCTTACAGTAACACACCTGATTCCCTTTACGTATGCAAAGCTATGTAACTCGTCTGTTGCTACAGAGTCCACCACGGCCCAGCCAAGCAGGACCATAAAAAGCACAAACGTCCCTGGTTAATTAGCAGGGCACACTCTCAGTGAACTGGCTGGAATAAAGCTGTAAGCCTACTAGAGACTAGAGTTATTATGTACCCTCCTGAGTCATCCTCTCTTCTATCCACAATCACTGAGAAAAAAAGGGAGCTTTTTTAACCATTCACCTGCTGAATGTACATGCAAATACATAGCTTATGTGGAGACATTACACACACATCACAAGTGAAGCACTTGACAGATGTTTAGTCACACACACACACACACGCACACCGTGGATGGAGACATGGTAGACAGATGAAAAGCGCACAGATAAATGTGCAGGAGAGACACTCCCACAGCGAGCGCTATGACATACACACTTATATGTGAAAGCCACATATATTTGATTCATTGTATATAGTCACATCAAGAAAAAAGCACGCACACACACAAACATGCAGAGAAATGACCGCTTTTCCCACATTAGAGGAAAAAAAAAACACTCTTTCAATTTACTGACTTTCCCAGTACAGTAAAAATACCACACGTCTCTAATGATACAGTGAGAGACATTGAAAAAATGATATGGGATGTGACAATGGCGTTTTTAAAGCAACAGAAATGTATGGGAAGTCCTGGTGAATTAAAAATATCTGCTTACAGAAATCATGACTCAAAGAGAATGAAATACACCCACACTGTCTGACTGAAATGCATCAATATGTGCTCTCTTTCATGCACTAACACACACACACAAACACACACAGACACACACACAGTGTTCAAAAACGCACGGGAGGAAGACACAGAAATAAACATGCTGCATAGTCTCCATTCAATAGCCACTTCTGTACCACAGATATACACATGCATAGGAACAACACGGATTTAAGACGCACACGCACATATTCGCACACGCACGCTCCAAGAGGCACACACACAGAATACACAGCTTATTAGTCTGTCTTTGAAAAGGCACGGCCTCTCAATAGCATCATCTACCTCTCCCCTCTCTCCATTGTCCTCTCCTCACATCCATAGCCAGCCAATGAATGAGGAAACAGCCGCTACCTGTAAATGAACCACACGCTCCTGTTTCTGGGGCCCAGTGACGGCCACGAAGAAGAGAGGGAGAGAGAGAAATCTCTCTCTCCGCAACCCCCCATTGCCATGTCCCCCCCTCCTCTCTCGCGCGCTCTCCACCACCTCCTCCTCCCTCCTCCTCCTCCTGCCTCCCTCCTCCCGGTCTTCCAGCGAGAGCTCAGCCGGAGAGAGCCGCGAGAGTCGAGGAGAGAGCGAGCGAGAGAGGTGGGGGATGAGAAGGGAGAGAGAGTGCGATGATCTGCACCCTGTGCACTTCAGACAAGAGAAAGACAATGTGTAAGAAAGATGGGGAGAGAGGAAGAGAGTACCAGTGACTATCACAAAAGGGAAAGGATGTATTGTCTGTGTGTGTGTGTGTGTGTGTGTGTGTGTGTGTGTGTGTGTGTGTGTGTGTGTGTGTGTGTGTGTGCGTGCGTGCTGGTGGATGGCAAGAAGAGGGTTTGGTTTTTAAATAGGGGGAGACGGAGAGCTGGGTTTCTGGGTTTGTGGGGAGGGGATGCGGGGGATGGGTACAAATGTGAGGCAACACCGGGGAGAGACAGCGCTTTCATTTTCACATCCACTAACTGGTAAATCACAGATATGCTAACAGCTGATTCCCACCCTGGATTTGATCTTGCACACATTTGCCAACTTTGCTCTCACTCCCTCCTATCCTCTAAAACCGAGCTGTCATCACCACACAGGCTAACAAACACTCTCCCTCTCTCCATCTCTCTCTGAAATAGTAATTGACATTCTCCCAAATGCCCAGCTGCAGTGACAGAACATGCTCCGGATCACCTTGCTCTTAATTGAGCACCACTTCACCACAGCTCTGCAATTACGCTTAACCAACTTAGCATAGGTAATGTAACCCCAGTGGCTGCTATTTCCATTTGGAACACAAGCGCATCTGAATTAAAGCGAATGCCTCCTTTTTTTTCCTTTTTTTTTTTGAATGACACTGAAATCTGCTCAGCACAAGGGCAATGTCAGCTGTAATGCGTTAGCAGCTATAAAACCCCGAGACGGGGGACCAGTGAGTCCTTCTCGCTGTAGCCCAGGGATCTAACCAGCACTTGGTGCTTCAGCCTCCTCATGACTCATCAGCAGAATGATGTATGTACACTCAGAGACGTAGGCATTTTCACATTCACTTGCACACCAACTCTAAGCAAACATACGCAGCTTCACAACACACAACCTTCGATGCCAAGGGATGAGGTTGCTGCTTCAGAAGAAACTCTTCCTTTATTACAGCATTATTGCTCTCAGTGAATGTGAGCAACAAGAGCATGTGGATGGAAGAATGAAAGAGACAAACGCATTCGTGTCGTGGAGTTAAAAAGGGGCAGGGCTAAAAAATGACACCGCTGCTCTTTGTTCTTTTTAAGCGTTGACGCGTTCACATAGCACAATAGAGAACAAGTGCTGTTCAGGATCGGCAGAAAACTGCTGAGAACTGACACACACAGACGCACACACACTAAACACAGCAGGGGGAACAAGTGTGCACACATGCTTCGCGCATAAGAACCTCCCTTTAACTAAAAAACAGCATTGTGATGACTGTTTCAATCACCTAGACCGGCCTCACGGTCTTGCCTTGCAACAGTTTGCTTGCTGCCCACACTGAAGTGGCAATCCACAACTAGAGCCACGTCGGAGGCTGTAGCCAATCAGGATTAGATTAATATTATTTTATTAATTTTTTTTTTCTATTTCCTAAAACCAGCATGCACTTTGTGGGAGGTTGGGGACAGCTCAGAATAAACACTATCAACTTGAAATTTACAGCACTTTAGACTTTAAAGTGGACGTATTATGCATTTTGTTATTTTTTGCCATATATAAACTCTTACAATGACTGATGCTCACATTAAGTATCACCCAAGATCTAAAAATAAGGTCAGCATACAAAATATGGACAACAGCATCAGGCCACACCTGTTAATCTTTGAACTCAGGTGATTTCATTGGTGTTGCCACACCAGGCCACACAGTCTGCTGAATTTGAGTGTGCATTTCAGAACCACAGCAGTGTAAATCTGTCGACCGGGGTCACCGAGTGCTGACACGCATATGCTGTAACTGCATTTAACTGTGTCAAACCTTCTCTTGCATTAACATAGGCACATCAGTCTACCCTCGGAGCTTCGTAGCATGGGTTTCCATGGCTAAGCAGCTCCTGTAGGTGTAATCTGCAGGTCGCTTTTTCCATATAACATATGTGCTGTGATCCATATGAGCCAAAAGCTCTGACTTCAGACTGCTCTGCTCCTCTGTGTTCTAAAGTTTTTCTCTACTCTTGGATCTAGATTAGATCATTGAGATCAGAAAACCCCAATATGGTCATCTCAGGCACACAGCACTGGCTCTGAGCACAAAAGTGTCACCCACCCACTTTCTTTTGCAGCAAATCAGAAGAAAGTTGGCTCAATGATAGAAGTCTCAAAAAGGCCTTAAAGGAGCTTGTTTGATGAGATAATGGATGAATTGAGGTGCTGGAACAAGACCCTGAATAGGATAAATATGGATTATTTTGAGCTTTGAATCAAACAAAGCTACTCTAGTAGCGTCCAAGAATAAAAGGATAGTGCAATCCAGATTAAACACCACAATTTGATTTTAAGACTTGATTTCCTGATCGATTAAAACACTTTCCACCCCATCTCACTCAATGACTAATACCCTTTTTGCACAGAATATGAAAGTCACAGCAGCATTTTCTTTGTACCTGGGGCCATCAGTGCCATCGTAGGCTCCAACGGTGACGTTACGGAAGAGCTTCCTCTTGGCTTTCTCGCTGCGCGTCTCTGCAAGGAAGGCACATGCAGGCAAAACATATGTCCAATTCAAACATTCAGCTACCGCCATGACACCTTCTCTGTCTTTGTGCTGAAGTGTTGTGTCGTCAGCAGTCAAATGCATTTACACCCTGTTTTTGTCTCCTCAGCGTGGCATATGGTTTGCTTCTTGTGTGAGCAGCTGTGAAAATAGAAGACAAGTGAATAACTCTGCTGCACATGCATGTAGCACTGGTCGTTACCGAAAGCACCAACTACTGAACATGAGTGTGACATGTGGGTGTTACAACAGTTTAAAAGATAATTCCAGCCTAAGGAAATATGCAACCCGTTTTCTAGCTTGTCCCTTCACTAATCCATGTACTATATGTGCGTGTGTGTTTATTAACCCTCCTTTTGACATACTTAACATGAATGAGTAATCGTCTTCTCCCATCAGGCACAGCACTGCTGTATGTTAGCTTTACAATCAGTCTCCAGAACATTCAATTTGGTGCTTATCTCACCTGGTCGATTGTCTTTGCTGGGAGCTGGTACCTCTTGCACACAGTCCGAAGGAAACCAGCCAGTGCGTCCTTTCACTGTTCCCTCCCAGTATCCACCCTCTCCTACACTTAACACTGAAACAGACAAAAGGACAGAAATATTTTACATTTTTGTTGTGATGAACTGGGATGCTGATCCTTCTCATTTCACTTTTTTCGGCAAACCTCTTTCCTTCTCATCTACATCTCCTCTAAACAACAGCCTAAATTTTTATTCAGTAAACTATATCGCAGCAGCATGACTAGAAATTTATATAACAAAGAATTACTCAAATATTGCCCTGCTAAACAATAACATGACACGATTCCACTGGTTACTTCTACTCAGAAGAGTAGAAATTGTTCAGCATGTGAAAATTCTGAGCTTTTCTCACCTTTGACTTTGTCCCCCTTGTTCAGCGAGAGCTCTCGGTCTCCACTGGCAGAGTGGGCACGAGTGGCCACGTACACTCGTCCTGGAACTGCGCTGTACATGCGCTTCATCTGACCCCCACCGCCACCCGCCGAGGTCGCACTGCAGAAAGACAAGCGCAGTGAGTGCATTAGAAAACCAAGAGATAAGACTGAGTGGCACACTGTGGAAAAACAAATGAGACAACATACAGCCTGTCAGGCCACATCAGAGACAGCTGAGTCATGCTAATCTGTCATACCAACAGTAAGATTTTATTCTGTGCTGGTGTATTTACACAACAGCGTCTAGTATTTAGCATGACAGGTGCATACTGTAGAAACTTCTGACAATTTCAGTCAACAAAACCAGCTCCTTCCCTTCATTTTGCACAAAACTAATGATATTAGTTATATATATAGTTTGTCTAACATTTAACTTCATAAATTTCTGTCACTATATTTCAGAATTTGACACATCACATGCATCAAATACTATTATTTTTTTCTTATCACCAGGGATTTATTCTTTCATTTTTGTCCAGTGGTTGAGTCACTGCTTTGACCCGATCAACATTTCTGATGTTGGAAGGGTAGAATAGAATGAATGGTTAAGCACATCTAATAATTATCCATCCATCCTTCCATCCGTCCATCCTCTTCCACTTATCCAATTCAGGGTCATGCTGGAGCCTATCTCAGATACCTTAGGATGAGAGGCAGGGTACAGCCTGGATAGGTCACCAGTCTGGCAGGGCTCATTATAACACCAGTTTATGATATTGGTCAGTACTAGTCAGTTACCAGCAAAATACATTCAGTTCTAATGGTGCTGCTGCACTTATTTTTAGTTCTAACACACAAATCAAACAAGAGTACAAACCTCCGCCAAGACAGCTCACTCTCTGGGCAGTATTCACTTTTAAGGGAATGGTATTATATTTTGTATCTATTCATTTCATTTTTTAAACAAACTTTAAGTAGTTTTTAGTGCAATAAAAATCAAAAGGACACTTTGTATTATACTAAAGTATGTCTGTGTAGGTTCTCAGTGATTCAGGTCATAGTAGAAATAATTCTAACTAACTTGGGAGCTCATTGTCTTTCTCTTGACAGTACCTTCTTTAAAGATATGACACATTTTGAGGTCAACTTGAAATAATGTGAAGTGTAAATATGAAATCAGAGGTCAAATGAAACATGAAATTTGGATGTACACTTATTATATTTTTTTAGAGATTAGAGATAGATATTTAGAATCCCCATATAACAGGATCCTTTCCTAAATGTTGTTGGTAGAAACAAAGGCAGTAGAATTTGAAGCACAGTTTTAAAGATAAAAAACATTTTATGAAACTTTGACCTTACTTGACCTGAAGGAAGAGGTCAGAAGTTTGAAGCAAAGTGATATTTATGTTGTCAATACAAATGAAAGCAAGACACATAATTTATAATAGCTCTGTATAGCATTATTATCACTTTGATCTTCAGATCAATTTATTGACCTTGAAAGAGAGGTCGGAGGTCAAATGTAACATGATATTTTAAATCTTTATATGTTACTTTTGGTATGTTGACAATACACATTTATTATATTAGAATGATAGTTTCTAAGTTTTAAGCCTTTTTATCCGCTTTGTTTTCTACCTTGAAGACTTTGGTGGATGTAAGCCAAATTATAATTAATTGTAATGGGACCCCACTCTACATCCCTACAAAGTTTTATCATAAGTCATGCAAAATGTTTCGCTTTATTGTGTTTACAGACAAAAAGAAATGACACGCACGCAATGCTACCAAAGCCACAACCTCTTTAGTGGAGGTAAATATAGACAATAGTAAATATGCACATCGTGAGATTGTTAGTTTCTTATATAGTTGCTAACCATAACTTAAAGAACTTGTGTGCTTAACTAAGTCTTTTTTACATTTTTAAACCTTCTTTTTTAAGGTAAAGTGAATGTATCCTAAATTTCTTTTGTTTACACAAAAACGCCGATTTATACCACATATAAACAAATGTGACCTTCTTGCAATTGCAAATAGTAAAAGGTATGCATCTGAGACATAAATAGTAATTTCTTTGCATGCAGCTAAAGATAATTGGAGATGACTGACTTCCTACTGTTGGATGGCCTGAAAGGACCTAGTCAGATTAAGATCCCAGCAGGCTTCTTTACCCCTGTCTGCCTCGTGGCTGCCTGTGCCTCTCCTCTGTGTCACTTTGGCCTCCTCTCCCTCTGGAGGGCGAACGGGTACGAGTTCTGGGGCTGCTGGAGCTTCTCATACCCACTGAGGCCCTGCGATGACCCTGCAAAAAACAGCCCCGCGGAGAACGTCAGTATTGATCATTTCAGATGATGAGAAATCATCAAGCGAGCTACTATTACAAAAGATCAAAACATGGACATCCACCTAATGCTGGACAGTACCTGTCCTGGGTTGGGATTGGTCGCAGCCTTGTTGGGCAGGGCCAGAGGGTCAGACTGGGTCATGGTGTTATCACTATTAGCACGCAGTAGGGGGTGGGAATGAAGCAAAGGGAGGGGCAGTGTGTGGGAACTTTCTTTTCGCTTTGGAACAAACTTTGGTGACTCTAAAAACGGCACTAAAGACATAACATGATGCAGAGGTTTGGTGTGACGGTACAGGTGAATATGTGAGGTGTGACAGGATGAAAGGGAGGGAGAAAACAGGTACATTGTTAGGATTATATATTTGGGAAAGAGCAAGGCAGACAGGTGTTGGGAAGTGACGTTTGAAAGTCCCTGCAGAAGAAACAGTTGCCAGGGAATCTTACCTATATCAGAGTCTTTGTGGTTTTTGATGATTTCCCCGAGTTCAAAATGACCAGACAAAACAGCTAGCTGCAAACAACGAAGACAAACTGAAATATTATTTGTTCCAGCAGGTCAAAGCTACTCTACAAATGCAATTTCACTCTGCAGACAGAATAATAAAAAAGCAAAACATGTTCCTCAAAACTCTGGATTATTTTTTAAAACATTTACCTGAAACGGGGTCTGACCATGCTTGTTCTTCGCCTCCTTATTCGCCCCCCTGTACAGAAGAACACGGACGCAGCTTTCCTGGTGATTCAGAGAGGAAAAGGAATCGGTTAACATCTGTAGAAGATATAACAGCAAACATTATGGTAATAATAGTTTAATAAGGGATCTTTTTGCCATACTTGCCTTGTTGTACAGGGCAGAAATGTGAAGCGCAGTGTTCCCTGAGGCATTTTGAGAAGTGGTGTCTGCCCCATAAAACAGCAGATGCTCCAAGTGTTGTGCAAAGCCATTCTGGCAAGCCTTTTAATGTCAAGAGTATGATAGAAATATCCCCAATATTATAAAGTATAGAAGGACACAAGTTGGACTAAAGAGAATGGTTTCAAACGGGATAAGGAGAAGATGGTGTAAGAGAATAGGGAAGAAAATGAAAGACATTGAAAAAAGAGATACGAAAAATAGGGGAAGGGGAAATCTGTCACACAGTAGTCTAACAGAAAACAAAGAGGTGAGAGCAAATTACAATTCACCACAGTGGAAAAGAAAGGGAACAAAAGCCATTAAAACGACAGAAATGAGCCTTCAGCAGCCTGAGAGGTTCCCTCATATTTTTCTGCAGGGATTAAAATATCACAAGATACGTACAAAGTAAAGAAAACACAGAGCACGGCAAAACCAAAATAAAATACCATGACAACCGGCTTGCAGTGCAAACACAAATTTCCCAGAATGTCACAGAGACATAATGTAGGCAATGCACACATATCTACGCTGAGAGAAAGAGCTAAGATACAATGCTCTTTCTGCACTGGACTCATCTCAAGATGAGCGAGACGTGAACGGGTTCGAGGAAACAGTGTGGTCACCTCATTCCCTTTTGGTTTATTTACGTAATAGTCACAGCATGGCTTTCTGTTAGGGATGAAGGGATGGTGGGATGAAGGGTACCTTATGTATTTCTTCCATTCCAAACTCCTCTTCATCCCTGTGCTATGGAGAGAGAGAAGGAGGGGAGGAAGGAGAGAGAATGGAGAGACGAGTGAGGAAGGCAAGGAGGAGAGAGGTGTGAGAAAAGGCTGAGAGACACTGAAGGTGATGGTAGATCACATCAGTCACATAAATAAGAAAGGGAAATGTTGGTGCATTGCTTAAGTTAACATGAAGGAGACAGAAACCAGACGGGATTTAACTATGATGAAACAGACATGATGAAAACTGTGAATCGTGGGAATCTGCAAAGAGGCGCACAGGGTGATTGATTTGCATTTGTAGCTGATTAAAAATCTAAGCTTACCTGATGGGATTCGTCCCAGCCGTTCTCGTCCCTTGTGCCCAGCTTTGCCCTGTAATAGAGCAAGGTCTCACAGCAGGAAGTTTCACCCCCTGTCAGCACAGTGTGGTACAGCGGGGTCAGGCCACAGCGGTCTTTGGAGTCTGGAGATGCTCCGAGGGACAAGAGAGCCTGGCAAGTTGACACACAGAGGGCAAAGAACAAGGATTATTTTAACCAAGTGTGTGTGAATGTGTAGAGTAGTAAAATATAACAAAGGCTTAATAGATTTTCTTCACAGCGATTATTAAATCAAATACTAAAACAATGCAACAGGAATATGAAATGTTACAGATAGTTCTTATATAAGTACATCACATGTACCATAAGTGCATGTGGTACAAAGTTATTGTGATGAGTGGGGGTGGGGTGTATATGTATGTGCGTGTGTGTATGGTGGAGGTGGTGTTGTCTATATAATAATAATTTTAAAAAAGGAGAAGAGAAAGAAATGTTATCACAATTACACACATTACAAAGCATTCGGTGTGTGACTAAACCCGCAGCTGAGGCAATTCTCAGAACTACAAAAGAGGAAAATTCTCGTAGTTTATTCAAAGAAAAGGAACAGCGCTCACAAGTGTACACTAACCAATAAGAACGCGAGAGACATAAAGCCAAGAGAAAACCACTTAGAAATTATTATCATATGACCCACCTCTGTAATTATCTTCAAAGGTAACAGCCTGTTTCCATGGGGCATTTATGCTATTTTGCTTTTATCCTTTAATTAGAATCATTATTCCGTTTTAATTTATTTTGTCCACACCGCCCGCTCTACTTGAGTGTGTTTGTACTCTGCATGCGTGTGACTCTAACTTTTTTAGCCCTTACCAGCAGCCCAGCGTGATTGTGAGCCCTAACAGCTTTGTGCAGGGCCGTCATGCCGTCTCTGCTTCTGAAGTCCAAGTGAGCGCCGCCCTGAACCAGGACCCTGATGCCCTCCACCGACAGGCCAGACTGCATGGCCACAGTGAGGGGGGTTTCTGACCCACAGAGAAGGTGAGAATGAAAGTTCACCCTCGTATGCTCTTGATATTGCTAAATATTACTGGCAAAGAATAAAGGTAAAACTCACCTCCGGTGTCAGGGTCGTGAAAGTTCGGATCAAGACCTTTATCGAGGACTTTTCCCATTTTGTCTATTGCTCCGGTCTGAATGTAATCCAGAAATTTCTTCAGACTGGCCTGAGTGTAGGGAAAGATGTTGCTGAATGCAATTAAGCACAACAAAGTTCAAAAAACACACAAAAAAAAAGAAATACCTTTGTGCTGAGTTTAGCGAGAGCCTTTTCATCCAGATTGGTCTGTTTATAGACTCTGGTTTTGTACCTAAACTGAAGACCGGAAAACATAGCACACATGAAAATGAGGATGATGGTACTTAGCTGTTCAGTTTCTTGGTGACAGCCTACACTGGAGGATATAACAAAATGATTACAATTTGTGCTGTGAAACCGTAGTTCAGAGAAAGCACCATTATTCTTGTCAGATGTTGCTGAACTCTCGCTGTTTCCAGAGATCTGTTCTCCCACTCGGAGTCGCTAGAATGACTCCATAATTGGCTTCTTTAAAATATTTGTGTCAGATTTGTTTCTACGTTTTGGGAAAAGGCTAAAAATGGTTAACTCTTCAGCCTCACAATGTAATAAGTTGGATTTGATGTTTCAATTATGATAATTTAAGCGCAAGCAAAGTGATGCAAATGAGCGGCTTGCGCGCACAGCTTTAGAAAGGATCTAGGGAAGGGCTCTATTAAGTTAGATTAATGATTAATGAGGGCTTTTTTTCCACAATGCGTTGGTTAAGGTTTGATTAATGACATTTAAAATAATAATACTATTAATGCAGTTTTCTTTAAATCACACTGACAAGATTAATTTATCATATAAGGTGATTTACATCTCAGGAACTGACAGATTGCACATTAGTCCCTCATTACACTGATTATATGCCCCACTGCGTTATTCTAAGACTGGTTTCTCACAGAGTAAAAGGGTCTGAACGCACTGCAAACTGCTCATTTTAAAATATTTTTTCTATTGTTTTCCACTGATGTTCTTGTGTTGAGGCAGCAGAGTGTTAATGTGTCGTATTCTTAATGTCTCTATTTTGGAAGGAATAAAGATCAGAAGGGGAAAAAACATCAGCCTAAAATTTGTTCTTGAACAGATGAGACTAATGAGTGTACTGTGTTTGGCTGGTTTTGCTGTTTTTACTTGGAAACCACCTGACTGGGTGTGTAGTCCTCACACCAAATCAGTTAACAGCTGAGGAGCTTTGAGGTAAGAAATTTCTGTCTAGCAGCTCAGAGCTGAGCTGCACCTCGCACTATGCCCCAGAAAACCAAGTAAAGATGGGTTTAGCAGCCACAATACAAAAGCAATCAGCCCTAAAAGTCTCAGTAAAACAACTGCAGCAGTACAACAGGAGCTAACAGGTAGATGTACTTAGTGGAACAAATGCGTTTTTTTAACTGATACTTATAATACATTCTGTTTGTTTCTACTTCCTTTAATATGACTTCCCTTACCATGACTCTAACTGACTCTGTCTTTACTTTAGTGTCAAAAACGCCTAAACTCTATGCAGTCTGCTGTGGGGTGTGTGGAGAGTGCAGTTACAAGGCCTCATCAGTATGCAGACAGGACCCCATCTCAAACGTTTCGAGAAATATAAACATTCTAATTTGAAGCTAAACTTTTGAGCTAAAGAAGATGCTCTTTCCAGCCCCGCCCAACTCAGCAGCACATACAGGAGCTGAGCCACCAGAGGGCACTGTGAGATAATTGTATTACAGCAGGAAACCTCAGATTCATGCTGTCTCACAACCCACTTACCAAAAAGCCAGGCAATACAATGTAATTAGCAGGTTACATAATATACGTAATGCATTTAAATCCATCCAGTTTTGTAAGGATTTCATTTACGCAGTCCACTCACTCTGTGATGCAGGGGGATTCTAATAAACACAATGCAATTTGGAGTTGCCTGCAATTAGAGACTTTCTTTACTCAGTTATGAGAAAAAAAAGTTTCAGAGTATCATACAGGATACTCTGAAACTTTCATTTCTCTACAGAAAGTACAAATCATTAAAAACATATCTGTATTTACGTTTGCTTTTTTGATCACTAATTTTTAGCAAGATTATTCAAAACCCATAAAAGAATCTATACAACACCACTGTAGAGTAATAATAAGTGCACTTAGGTCACAACTTCTGTAAGTTTAGCAGGAATTAGGGGAATCTGATATTTGATTACTTCCAGCTGAAGAACTACAAATACATCATCACGGTTCTGAGAAATGAAATTGTTTGCAGTACAACAATATTTATACAAAAATCAATCAATATTAGATTTGACATCATTTTACATCATTTTAAGAAAGAGAGAAACAAGTGATGCTCTAAGGGGGGCTTACACTGGGTCACAGCTCCCTTTCCTACCTCCAGGTACGGCACCCCTTTCTCGAAGGACTGTGAGTAGTCTCTCAGGGGTCTCTCCTCCTCCAGGAACTTGGCGTCCCGTCCCTCTCCAGCTGGCTGGAAGAGGCCATAGTTGTAGACGTCCCATAGGGACTCACTGAGGGAGCAGATGATCTGCTGCTTAGCGTTCCACACTGTGCAGTCCTGATCAAACTGGAGACATCTCTGTCAGACAATGGACAGGACAGGGGCGGGGTTAGAGGGCGATAGTACACCTGTACTAAGGTTGAAACAGTGGTTAAAAATATACAGGTTTTACAGCTGTTGTAGTGTACCTCTGTCAAAACATTTTTAATGGATATTTTCAGTGCTTTGAGCACCAAGAACAACCTAGTGTTTCAAATCAGATGTTGATGAGCCCAGTTAGCTGTCTGTACGTTAGATAGCTTTACAGGATGCCCTTGTGGATCGCTAACTGCACTATAGTGCTGCAGTGTTTTTGTTTTTGGATTTAGGACAGGATCCCCTGAGTCTAGATGTGGATGGTGATGAAGACTGAGAGTGAGGTAGAGATGGAAACGAGGTAGGTTGCATGAATGAGAGTCTGAAAGGAAGAATGACAGAGCACTGAGATTTAAACCACGCAGAGCGGTGGCTGATTGACTCAAAGAAGGTAAATAAAAAGATGGCTGGACTAGTGTAATGATGTAAGTACTGAGAGCGTGGGAAAGTCATAACGATGTAAAGAACAGACTAGAAGCTGATCTTCCTTATTGAACTTATACATAAGTTTTATCTCCAGTCAGCACTCGTTACAGCCAAGATATGCAGAAGAGCATGTCTGAATGCACACCCCATCAAACTTTCCAACAGAAGACTGGAAAAGCATTTCCTTGTTTAATGAGTCCCATCAGTCCTGTCTTGTATTAACTGTTAAGGTAATGGTGTGGAGAATATTTTCTCAGAGCACTTTGGCCCCCTTAGTAACAACCGAGCATTATTTAAACACCGCAGCCTGTCTGCAGTCCTTTTATGACCACAGTCTACCTAGTCTCCGATGGCTGTTTCCAGCAGGACAACACGTATCTTGAACTACTTTCTTCAACATGACCCTGAGTTCACTCACTGTATTCAAATTGCCTTCAAAGTCATGGGTGTGAAGCTGACAAATCTGCAGCAGCTGTGTGGCGCTATCATGTCAATATGGAGATCTAGATCTCTGATGAATGTTTTAACCACTTTGTTGAATCTGAGCCAGGAAGAATTAAGGCAGTTCTGAAGGCTAAAAGGAGTTTGTGCATGATGAATGTATATGAGTGTGACGTGCAAAATATGAATGCATTACTTTTAATGAATCACCTGCCACATTCATGAATTATAAGATGACTCATTCTGTCCTTTTAGTCTGTGGTATCAGGTTATTTGGATCTATTTCACTTTCATTTTATACCCTATTTTTTGATTTTCTCTGCTAATAAAGAAGTAAAACTCACATGCATAGATAAATATTTTGCTATTTCCTCCTTGTCCAGTTTACTCCATTATCCAGAAGAGTAGGAGCAAACTTTGTGGATACACCCAAAGGCTACAATTACAAAACACCTCGGATGTATTGTGTGTGTGTGTGTGTGTGGATTTCCTAACATGATTTCACTGTGATTGTTGCATTGTCCATTTCCTCATATTCTCCCATTTCTGTGCAGTTCCACAGGAAAGACATCTTTCTGGACCTGGAGCTCGAGCTGATTGGAAGCTTGAACAGCAGGAGAGCTGAGACGTGTGAGAGATGTATGTATCCATACTATTGTTCCATTTCAGAGGGCTGTGAGTAAAACTGCACAGCTCAGCACACTTCCATGTCCCTTCTGCCCCCCTCGAGCCCGCACTCTGTTTGATAGTGTAGCAAACTCTATTGGCATGGCAACCAGTTCATTAGTGGAGGCAGGCACCCGTTGCCGTAGCAATGTCTTGGTGGTCCCTGGGAGGTTAACCACATGATAGGGATGAGCATGACTGTGTGTATGTGCATGCATATAAGTGAGCTATAAACTGTCTGTGTGTGTCTTCTTATTGGAGTGCACTTGTGCAGTGTAGTGGTTTTTCTTGTGTGTGTGTGTGTGTGTGTGTGTGTGTGTGTGTGTGTGTGTGTGTGTGTGTGTGTGTGTGTGTGTGTGTGTGTGTGTGTGTGTGTGTAACAGAGATAGAGTGGCTAATCCCTCTGAGTGAGGTCTAATGTAATGTATACTGTATATAACAGTAGTGGTTTTTCTTGTGTGTGTGTGTGTGTGTGTGTGTGTGTGTGTGTGTGTGTGTGTGTGTGTGTGTGTGTGTGTGTGTGTAACAGAGATAGAGTGGCTAATCCCTCTGAGTGAGGTCTAATGTAATGTATACTGTATATAACAGTGCTGCTTCTCTCCTCATCGTTTCTTCTTTAATGCAGTTTTCCTGAGATGTTTCTGGCAGTTTTTATTATTTAGATCTTCAGTGTGCACTATTACAGCACATATTTTCCTCTCTTTTCATCCTTTCCCCCCCTTTCTTCAGTCTGTCTAAGTAGCTCCTAATATTCAGCCCCTCTCTTTATCCCTTTTTAATTCTGTTCAATAATACTTCAGCTTCCGGGTTTGCAGTGCCGAGTGTTTGTCAGTGATGTGTGGATCTCGGTACGCTGCCTGTGGCTGATGGAAACCTGAGAACAGAGACGCCTTCCACATATTTCTTCCCTTCGACAGTCACTCACTTCCTCAGCTCTCCCAAAACTCATTAAAAACCTATTAAATAATTAGCAATTACTGTTGTATTGAGGGCAGATTAGCTGACATGTAGAACAGTCGGCATGTTCAGGGAGTTGAAAATGGAGAAAGGAGGATGGGGGAGGGGTTACAGTGGGGCACCCATTCTCACCTGGATATGGTGCGTGTGGGCTGGCCAATTCTCGCCTGCTGCCACCGTAAGGCTGAGAGCTGCTTCAAAGTGTGAAATGAGACTAACTTCAGTTTTGGAAGCTAATTATGACCACCTGACCCAAGGCAGATGCTTGCATGGTGTTGTTGACTGAATATGTTTTCCCTTGCAGGGTGCTCAGCACAAGCTGAGCTCTGTGTGAGTTCCTACTTCCCTTTGGGACTCATCTCTGAGCCCGCGGGATAACTGGAATGGAAAAGCCTTGAAATTAGAAATGTGCTTCTACAGTTGTGCACACTGTTTGACTTATATAAAAAAAATTGTATGCTTCAAGCCACCCATGCAGTGTTTTCTGTGAATAATTTGAAACAGACATAGAATCAGCAACGCATCAGTATTATTTGACGTGTTTTAACTCAAAGGATGGAAAACGGCTGGATTTTAGAAGAGAAGCGAGAAGGGAGGGAAGCAAATCAAAAGACAGGAAGAAAACTGAAAAGCTTCTGAGTTTTAGGGGAGGTAATAGCGAAGGAGGTGACCAAAGCCCAGTGTTCAGCTCTCATTAAATGGCTGTTGTCCTTTTCTTTTTTTTAATAGTCACAAATGTAAAAAATACATTTTTGGAGCTTTTTGTCTGCAGTTGGTCATAACATCAGAATCAGAAATAGCAACATTAACTAAATGTATACCTGCCTTAATGGTTTAAATAGCCTGAGATATTATTTTTGAAATTCTGTTTGTCACATTAAAGCTCTCTGTCTCTGAGGCAGTAATACCAGGGAGACTTGGCTTGAACTACTTCCTCATTTGGAAAGACCTCCAGTGCAGTGTGAGGGAGACTTCTTTCTTTTTCTTTTTTCTTTGACAGGGAGAACTAAACTTTTAAACTGTTTGATTTGGACTGGTTTTGACAAGTTTTTTTCTTCAAAAAATTCTGCTTCAGCTACTTTATTCACTTTTAAATGATCAGTCAAGAAGCTCCAGGGACGGCTGTGCGGGCCTCAGCCTTTCATGAATTTCACACACACGTTACGAGCAGTGTCTTTGATGCACCTACTGTTTGTTTGATGTCGGGGATTCCAATGCGGAACACCATCATGGTCAAGTAAGTGTCCTCCAGTGGAGCCACTGTGGTCATGCTGCGCTCCATGAAGGCTCGTTTCTTTGCTGCCATGAAATACTGCTGCTTATTGGCAGCTTGATGATGTAGCGGGGCTATATTGGGCATGTAAGGGATCCCCCTGTTGCCGTGATTGCCCGGCCTCAGCGGCCGATCTACTCTCTGTCGACCGACCACAATGGCTGCTGGTTTCACCACCTCACCGCCTTTCCCTTCCCAGGATTGTCGTCCTCCTGTCATCTCCTTTTCCTCCAGATACTCTAGTCGTCCATTCTCCATGTCACGTTCACCTTCTTCTTTTCTGTTTTCTCTTCCCTGCTCCTCTTCCTCCTCCTCATCCTCCCCATCTTTGTCATCCTGACTGGGATAAAAGTGCTCATTATTTCCCAGCATCCTTTGCTGTGCAGAGGTCACTGCAGAGAGGGCTGAGTGATCTAGCTGTCATGGAGACAAAACATGGCTATCCCATGAGACTGGCTTCATCCTTAGAAACATGCTGTAGGGGAAAAAGGCAGAAAAGGGAGTAAATGTCGGTCATTTGACTCGTATCTTTGCTTTGATTGAGAGAGTGAACTTAGTAATGCTGGAATATGAGTAATTCAAGTACATAAAAGACACGTGCAGTAATAGAAAATCTAGCCACTGGCAATGCTAATAAGTCCACATGTGTGAAATAGCACAGAGCTGGTCCACATTTTCCATTTAGCCACTGGGAATGCGTCTGGGAATAGCAGACTTATGAAAGACAGGCTAAATATAAACTCTGTGAATTTGCATCACAGGTTTTCTGCAGGAGGGAGTGAGTTGGAGATGCGATCTAGCATCACACGAGGTCAAGATCATTGGTATTTTGTGACAATGGAGGAGACCTATGTTTGAGGCACAGCCCAGGGCTAACAGCTAAATGTGCGCTTCTTAAAGGAAAATTCCACCCTTGCACTCTGTTACTGTTAAATACAATTTAACTCGTTGACCTTGCCCTATCCCTCATCCTTGACAGCCTGTTTTCATTCCCAAGCTGGTGGCATTTCCAAATTTCACACGAGGTCTCCTGTGCCATGAAGTAACAGGTTTAGGAAACAAGGTGGCAGGTGTCTTATCTGGATGCTTATAAAGAGCCCCTTGGTGTCTGTGCTAAATCACGGGGTAAACATCATTTTCTTAACTTTTCCTAATCGTAACCCTTAGTGCAGGATTTGACACCCTTGGATGCAAACGTGTTGACCTCCAGCATGTCTGCATGGTTCACCAACAGGATATGAAGGATAGGATGGCTGGCAGTATACTCCAGATTAGAAATGGTGTTTTTTTAATAAGCATGAATCTGCACAACATCCAACATATTCTCATTGGACAGCTTTTAAGCTTTGCTAATCAGGCCATTATCAGACCGTGAGGGCTTGTTACAGGAATTGGGTTGTTTTCTCTTAATAGCTGTCTACGCCAGATTGAAGGGGGCTTAGGGTTTTACACAGCAAAGGTTTGTAAATAACTCAGTGAATCAGCAGCTTCTGGAAAGTCACATCTGAGTGTACTGACTGGATTTGCAGTTGTTGACATAGTTTTAAGAAAATGCCCAAATTATATTTACTTTTCCAGCTGAAAGAAAAAGTCATGCTCCTTCATTAAAATAAAGGAAGCGTTGTGGAGGAAGGGTTTTCTGGTCTAGTGAACTTTCAGTTTAATTATTTGTATACTGTACATATTCAATTCATTTGAATTCAATTTTATTTATACAGCGCCAAATTACAACCACAGTCACCTCAAGGTGCTTTATATTGTAAGGTAGACCCTACAATAATACATAGAGAGAAAAACCCAACAATCATATGTGCCCCTATGAGCAAGCACTGGCGACAGTGGGAAGGAAAAACTGCAATATGGCATTACACCTCACAACTTTACACAGTACGGTAAAGAAGAGTTGGAGAATTGTATTCTTTCTTAAGAAAGCACTTCTTGACACTTTGAGGAGAAGCAAAATTTCAACAGGAACAAAGGAGGGAGAAGCCACCGTCTTCCTTCATGAGTGCAGACATAAAGTCTAGGAAGAGTACCTTTCTCTCTGATCACTAACAGCTGTTTTAAAAAAAAAACGTGACTTAGGGTGGATTTTTGCTTTAAGCTTGTTCCATTGCATCTTCATGCTTCAGATTTGGCATACTGGTGCCTCCGTATGTTTTGTTCTGGTTTTTCTGTGGTGAAGTCTGGCTACAGGGCTTTGCCATCATGCAGATCTGGACCATTGCCAACAGCCGCCTTAATGATGGGGAGTGATGCAGGGAATCTCCCACTGTTTCATTTGCAGAGTGGTGCTCTGAATATCTTATGAGCTGAGTCTGACATGGATGGGAATCAGAATGCACAGATGGACAGATGGAGCACAACGCGAATCAGGACACAGAGCTAACGTCAATCAATCACAAATTACCAACATGCAGATAATTCAATCGGTTATTAATAGATTATGTAGAAAACGTGCTGATGAGGGTTAACGGGGCATTAAGTGATCTAGGACTTTTGACTTATCAACCTCTATTGGGGACCAAGGACATCGACAGGTGTCTGGCACAGCTTACAGTGGCCTGCAATGGACATAAACAATAATGCAGAGATGAAGAAGCCAGCCAAGAGCCGGACACCCAACAGGAATATTGATGAAGAGCATACTCACTTTTAAAACACTCTAACATGGATGCTGCTTTTGTAATTCCTGATTGTTACACAGTTTGAAGTGTTTATGTTTTTGCGCTGTTTTGAACATTTTTGAAAAAACCACAGATGTCTCCAGTCACAGGCAGGTGACAGAAGAAAAATCCCTAAGGTGTTGCATGTTGATGGTTGGTTATAGGCAGGTGTTATGTACCATTTTGGATAAGAATTCAGGTTTTATTCTCTGTTTAAAAAAAGGCAAATATATAATAATAATAGTAATAATAATAATAATAATAATAATAATAATAATAATAATAATAATAATAATAATGGATTGGATTTATATAGCGCTTTTCAAGGCACCCAAAGCGCTTTACAATGCCACTATTCATTCACTCTCGCGTTCACACACTGGTGGAGGCAAGCTACGGTTGTAGCCACAGCTGCCCTGGGGCAGACTGACAGAAGCGAGGCTGCCATATCGCGCCATCGGCCCTATATAAAAGGTAGATGTAGCTTTCAAATCTAAAAAGTAAAGTCAGTGGGGATGTCTGCTTTCTTTCTAATAGTGTGCAGGGAATGGCTCCTGGTTGGAATTCTATGGAGAAGAGGACCCTGGGCTCCCTTTACTATGACCACAATAATCACTTTCCTCATTTATGTTCTCAGTCTCTAGTTACAACACATAAAGCTAATTCCGTACATGTTTGCTCCCATTAGTGTTCAGAAAAACAAAGTATATTTTAGACTGACAAATTGCAAATGAGCATGCAGCGTCTCTCTATTTCACAGTTTGGCACATCATGAGGTCTAGTTAAAAAAAAACTGAGATGGTGTCAAAGCTAAAGGTCCTTGAGAGGCATGCAGACTACTGGGTTGCTAGTTTCAATTTTTAATATAATTTTTGGGCTTTTTAGCCTTCATTTACACAGGATGACAGATAGAAAAGCTGAGAGTAAAACATACAGCAAAGAGTTTTGTGTCTCATTCAGGCTTCTAAAATAGCCTTACGGTAAATGGTTTGCCTGCTAAATATATATAACGGAATGCATGGCCATCTCTTATATACAGTCTATAGGTTTGAGACAACCGTTTTGTCTTAAAAAAATTTTCCCAATTTTGATATGTTTATCTTTACAAGTTGGCGTTCCACAGTTCAGAAAAAAAGTCATAAAAATAAAGTTTTATACCTCCTTTATTTGAAGCGCCTCCACATGTATGAGGACCCTAACCCCTGGATTGGTGATGACTGAACACAGATTAAGTTTGGTTTGGGATTAGAGAAATCGCTGTCTAAAACAAGTGTGTATACCAAGACCTTTCAAAATATTACAAGAGTGAGTTATGGAGAGAGATTGGCTCAGAAACAGGTTTTTTTTTTCCATATAACAATGAAAAGTGACCACACTTTACACCGTTGCACTATGTGTGTGTGATTGTTTCATTCTGTGGAAGAATACAGATATTATTTGATGGATGCTTGCAAACAATCGGTTTTTAAGTGTCTATAGTGTTTGAAAGACGGAGTGGATATATGAGAAATGGTCATCTCACTGGCCAAAAGAAAGTCTGCTGGTTGAGCATTTCTGAGCGAAAGCATAGCGCAGAGGGAAGCAGAGTGACCGTGGTCAATTCCCACAGACTCTCAGAGAGTGACAGGGTGGGTCCTTTAAGTGCAAATCCAATGTCTGTCAGAACAAGTAAATGAAGGAAGACTGGAGGACAAAACCAAAGGATGGGTTTAGAGAAAAAAATGTAGGAACTTTGATGAATCTGGGAAAACAAATAAGCACCAAAAGCAATAACAACAAGGGCTCTGGAGAAAGTGGCTCAGTGCCTATCAAGAAGCAAAAGAGCTCTGCTACTGAATTATCAGTTACCTGAATCATTCAGGGCATATTTAACCACCTCTGGTCATATGTGTGATTTACATGTGGCATCACATTTTAGGCTGAAAGCGTCTCTGATCAAAAGCTGACAAAGAGCAGCGTGTTAACACTTGCAAGGTTTTAAAGATTAACACTATCATCCAAATAAATGAGGGCATAGAGGAGGCTGATTTATGAACAAAGTCTCATCAAATATTGAACAACACAATGCAAGATAAAGGAAGGAGGAGGACAGGCTGAGAGCAGGCAGGAGTCAACTACATGTTTGTAACTGGGATGTAAAAGCGAAAGGGGAATACACAAGGGGGAGAGACAGAGAGAGCTGCAGTTTGCATAAAGCAGAGTAATCAGATTGGGAGAGAAAAGGGAGGCGGGATGGGGAGGGAGGGAAAAAAAGATGGTGAAAAAGGCGTGAGTGCGAAAGCCAAACACACACACAGTACTGTTAGGCTAAAAATGGGAAACGATGAGCATTATGTAAAATGGATTAATAATATAACTGTGAAAACTAATCACAAGTCCGAAAACTCTCCTCTTAGCCGTCATGGATGTCAGACTTGTCTCATCTTTGCGTCTTTGCCTTCTCCATCGTGTCACTCAACTCCTACACTCCTGCAACAACAATAGCTCAGTCAGTCTGCTTCTGCCGGCTGTTTCGCTCTCCTGTCTCTGTTGCTGGCCATCATCTCACATCTCGTCTTGACTTTTCTTCCTCTTGGGAGAAAAGCGGTGTAATAAGGAAATGAATTTCACCCCTCTGACAGAACAGTCTTTTTGTGCAAAACTCACAGTTCTCATTTCAGCCACTTACTTGAATTGTTCTTCAATATGACTGTTTTTTTCTCTTCGTCCATAATTTGTTCCGTTACCTATTTTGCTTGTAATTTCAGGAAGGAATTTAGATTTAATTTGGGTGGACTGTGGGGTAAGATGAGCCAGTGAGGAAGCCGAT